ACGTTTGGATCGATTTTGATTTTCGAAATTTATTTCGGTAACATAAGGGTAAGACCGTTGAACTCGAATAAATATAGTGTATTTTAATTATCTTATTTATCTTTTGTAGCTTTGCTGAGCTAGACCAAAGTTGGTTGTAAAACTTTTCATTTTAATCCGCTAAGGTTACAGTTCAACTCTAAATCCATTAAAAATTACTTTCTTTGTCCACTTAAAAATTAATGGCTGCGACTGCTATCACGCCGCGGAGTTTATCAAATATGCTTTTGAGAAAATGGAATTCCAATCAGATTACGTTGATGCCAATGTTTGAATCTCTAATCGAAACTTTCTAAAACTAGGTGGTCCTCCAGGGAAAAGCTCTCAAGCAAATCTTTGTATGACTATTCCACCTACTTAACATGTCTCTTCGGTATGCGACTTTATTCATTATTTACCTACTTCTCGATTCCTCTTAAAGCGGAAACGTCTATAAAAATTTATGTGGTCAGTGAATTGCATCCTGCATCGAAAGCAGCCCAGACCCGACACCTACACTGATTTTATCTGTTCTGTTAATGAAAATTAAAAATTCTTACCCTGTGTCCCTGTCGATGCAGTTACAAAGGATTTTCCAGGGGCTTTCGAGATTCCTATCGTGAATTGTCTGACTTTTTTCCTTTCTGGTGCCTCTATTACAAGCCCGTCTGCGGACGATGAAGTCTTTTGCGATCGGAATTGAGTTTCAAAGTCAAATCTTACACTGGATGTTTTGGTTTGTGGCTAATGATAATTTCTGATGTCTTAAAACATGAATTAATTGCTCTTAACAACTTATATCTTTGTTGCAGGGCAGGAGCCGTGGTCGGTGAAGGCGGATGCTCAAAGTGAGTAAATTTTTTAATCAGTGTAAATATTTCAACTGTTGTCCCGGTCAAGTTAAGAAGTTGAATTGTTCATTTTTCAAGCCCAACTTTTGAAATAAAATCAATTATTTCTGTGGGAATCTCCCATCGGTCAATATACACAAGCCGCCTAAAAAAAAGGACAGGTGACACGGATATCGCCTTCACATGTGCCGGTCGACTTTTTATTTGAGAAACTTTCAATATTAAATTAAACTCAACAACGGGCAACGATAATAAATAAAGACGTCAAGTCAAAAGTTACTTATTCACGCCATTATAGTCGCTTTTAATTCCAATCAAATGCCCACCCTACTGCTGCAATTTATCGAACCGTCATCGAGGTGTGAAATTAAAAATTGCCGTATCGAATTCGTCTCGATAACTATCGGAAATGGTATTCCTAATTTTTTGCAAACTTTGTGATGTCTCTGTTCCGACTGCCAGTTAAGTTTTGTTACATTTTCTTTATTGCAAAATTTTTTTTTACGATTGTGATTTAAAAATTGCAATATTCCTGACTGAAGGTTTTAGACTTCTGGAAGATTGAAACTTGCCTCTTAGCACACATTGATAATCGCACTAGTTTCAGTAACAAAATTTATTTTTTTTAGAATAGCGTGGTGCTTTTTAATTTTCGTTTTACTAAACTCAGCTCAAGCTTGGATGGTTTTCAAAGACATTTTTCACAAATCACATCACACTCGAAGTTTACGAGCACGGGTTGTCGAATATTGCACAATGTTTCGTTATTATAGCCGGCTATTAACGGTTTTTTTTTAATTTGCGATATTTCCGATACAGGTTTGCACCCGTCAGTAATTCAGTTTTTCGGAAAAAAAATTGGAAATCCTGCATTTATGCAAGTGTAAAAGAAGCTCATTTTCAGATATGAGCAGTTAGTTGCAGTTTGTTGCGAGTATAAATTGCTTTGAATTGTTTCTTATTAGCCGTGTAGAATGTAACTCATAGTGGTTTTTGAGTTACGATATTTTCATCGAAAGTCCATATATGTGAAAATAAAATGTTTTTCTTACTCGAGCTTTGAAAGCTTCTTAAAAACCAGTTTATATCTGGATTTAAGTTAGGTTTGCTGCGAGTGTAGCTTGAAATTTATTGAACACTTTGTAGATTTTAGAATCGCATACTCAAGGTAGTTCTTAATTTACTGTGTTTCAGAAAAGTTTGAGAAAAAATCTAGTATTGAAATGTTCTTCAAAATGATTTCATCTCTAGATTTAAGTGAACGTTCTTATCAGCCATTTAGAGTGTGAAACCAGCTACTCACAGCAGTTTTGTAAGTCTGCACGTGAGAAATTTCGGTTTTTCTTGCTCAAGTTTGCGAAATTTCTGATTAGTAATTTCTGGTCTGGATTCGTTGTCATTTTTTGGTCCGCTAGCTTTGCTGGAAGCTTAATTTGATGATTTTAGGCGCTCTGTATACCTTGGAACTGGCTGCTCATAGTACTTTCTGAGTTATATTTGAGCGGTACCTTTGCCGAAGGTTGCCCTCTTGTAAGAATTTCTGATTCTTTGTTAGATTTTTGAAAACTGCTCAAAAATCAGATCGAGTGTCCATTTAAGTTGTGTTTGTTGCAAGAGTAATTTTAAGTTTCTTTTGGACTCTTGCACAATGCTTTGGTAGTTGCGATGAGTTTTGCCAAATGTGCCCCTGTGAGGAATTCTGTTTTTCTTTGCTGGATTTTGGAAAGTATCTCAAAAATCAGGTCATGAGACGATTTAAATTAAGTTTGCTGCAAGTGTAATTTTAAGTTTCTCTTATACGCTGAAGATTTTAGAATCGCGTGCTCAGAGTTCTATGAGGTACAATTTTTTTGTTCCAAGAAGGCTGCTCTTGTGAATAATTTTGGTTCTTCCAGGTCGATTTTTTTTTCAAAAATAAATTCTTATTTGCATATAAGTGCCGGTTGGTGTATTGTATGTAATTTGGAAATCGTACTTACAGTAGTTTTGAGTAATTCTATTTCTGTGACAAGGTTTCACATATGATAATTTTTTTTTCTTACAAAGTTTTCTTCTGGCTTCTCGCTGCTTCCAGCAAAATTATCAGAAATCCATCTATGCCTGGATTTAAGTGAGGTTTGTCATGAGTTTAATTGGAAGTTTCCTATGAGCTCTTGAGGTTTAAGACTCAAATTTTTATTTTTTTCATGAGTCTTCAATTTTATCCTCAAAAACAAGTTTATATCCCAATTCAAGTGAGGTTTGTTGCAAGCGTAATTTGCAGGTTTTGATAAGCTGTATAAGAGTAACGATATTTCCACCATAAGCATGTAGGTGTGAGAAATATAATTTTTCATTAGCCCATTTTTGGAAGCAACTCACAAATCGGTTTCCGGAAAATACTGTCACCACAAGTATGCAATTGTGAGAAATCCTGATTTTTTAGGCTCCAGAAAAGTTCTCAAAAATCGGAAATGTTTTTGCCAGTGAAGTCAGTAAGCTTTCTAGACTGCTTCTAGATTTACGGTGTTGGCGCTTCAAGATTTTCTTGCCTCTAATATTTCCTTATCGTTAATTTAAAAAGTCTAAATTGATCATTTCCAAGGGCTAAATTAGTTGAACTATTTTAGCAGGTATTGTGTGAAAAAAATAATCTGTTTGTCATCCTGCTGGGGTAAACAACTAAATATTCTGTTGGTATTGTAGATTGAAATTTAATAAATTAGTTGAGCAAACACAAACCGACTGCTTACAAGTCATTTGATCTTCAGATCTTCAGTTTCCAACAATTGCGCTTTTATCTTAGCAAATTTGAGGTTTTCTCAAAACTTTGCCTCTACGTTTGTTTTAATGCAAAATGGATTGACAAAAATCAGTTTTGTGACGTTTTTATCATAGGAATTTTGATTTTTCAACAAATTGCAAGCTTAAGAACTAAGAATTAGGGCAATTTGGATTCATTGAACTCTAAAGTCTTGCCTTCTTGCGAGGCCTTGTTCGATAATTAGAGCCCTTTCCATCTCACTCGTGTCATCAGAATTTGCAATTTTCTTACTTCACGCTTGACAATTGTAATTTTCAAGCTTGAAAGCCACTAATCCTTCCCGGTAAAATGTGTATGAACTTTTAAATTAATTTTCGGTTTAATGAGATTTAAACAACTTTTTTTTAAGAATCACCCAAAGTCTCTTGCCGTGTCTGTGCCATCTACCTGAACTGCAGGTGGAGTAAATACCGGATTTAAGCTCGAAATTATAGTGATTGCATAATGAAATAATATTCAATAATTATGCAATAAAAACGACATTAATGATGTATTTACCAGCAACGCGGATTCCAGTTCGTTTTCGTTTTTTAAAGAGAAACAAAAAGATAACCGGAGATTGTTATTCACTTTATGAATGAAACTTAGAATCACTGGAAGAATAACAAGCTTTCGAAATAGCACAGGGCTCAAAGAATCCAAGTCAGTTTAATGTATTCCCATTTTTTTATAGCGGATCAACTATCAAAATCTTAATTTTTTAACGAATTTAATAGAGGATTTCCTAAATAATAAAGGCAAATTTACACTCTTTGAACTTTAGAATTTTTTTATTTCCCGTAAGCTTGTTGCAAAGTCCAAGTCTGAAACTATTATCATTACTTGCAGGTCGGATGTGTTTATTATCATCAAATGAAGGAATTTATAGGCCCATAACTTAACTGACAGACAATATACAATGCGTAATTATGTCTCGGTTAAGCCATATGTTATTTGAATATAAATATCGTATTTTTTATAATTTATTTTCATTTCTAGTTAAATATGAGTCTGAATTACACCCGGTGAATATTAATCGTGTATTATTCATACAATGTTTATGGGTTCTTAACCAACCTGGCCAGTGGGAATCTTGTCTATTTTGATGCTTTTGCATAGTAATTGGAGTTTTTCTTAAAACTGGTTTCGGCTTGATGAATTGCAACGTAACAAGGCAAGGTCAGTGTAGGTGATTCATGTCTGATCTGGTAATGACTCATCTTGATTTTTTCCTTATCTTAACTCCACTGTTAGTTGGCATTCAGCAACACCTTTTTTTTACCTTTCGTATATCCTCGTAGTCGTCTAATTTGGAAAAGCGTTTAAGGGACATAAAGAAAACAATTCAACAGATTTAAATATCTTTAATATATCACACAAAGAGCATATACATACATCAATTTCATATGTACATCATTTAGTTTTCAAATTATTTCCTAATCTCAATTATATACTTTACTGTAGTTGATTATTTAATTATTTGCGTAAATAAATAAACAAGGAATCAGCGACAATTTGACCGTTCTATTTGACAATGAATTCAACCACTGGATGGCTTTATTTGCCACATACAATTATTTTTTTAATTGTTTAAAGACACGTTTCGGTAATTTGCGGCGACTATATTGAGTTTGAACAGTAAAATTTATGAGCCGTTTAAACCGTCATCATATAGACATCTAAAAAACTTTCAACCATAACACTATCTGTACATTTCCAAGAATGTTTCGCAATTTAATTTTCCATATTTATTTATAGGGATATTTAAGCCGAAATTTTCACGTGTGGACATGGTCACCCGGTATACTAGAACAACGAACTAAGATATAAATAAAATATCAATTGGAAAACCATCCAGGGGTTATGCCAGTAACTATTCAAAATAATAGTCATTATTTAAAAAGTGGAAAATCATTAGCAAAGCAAATTTAAATGTTGCGAGTTTTTGTTATTGCCGCATGACATATTTCCTTCTTCCCGACAGTCTTGTATCAAACAAACATCCGGACAAATCAACATTGCACATTGTTTTTAAATAAAATCGTCTATTTACACATTAAACACTGTAAACATCTCCCGAACGAACGTGTCTCCTATTTACATTTACACAGTTACATCTATTACAAATTGTATTTGTACTTAATTACATTAACCTGGTCAAAATGCTCTAGCGATCTAAATATACAGGTAATCCATTTACAAACTCTTTCAATAAATATATTATGTACAGGGAGAGAGCAAGAAGGTCAAGATTTTTCAATCTGTCACCTTGAATCCGTGGTTTCAATTATTATTGTCCAAAAACGTTTGGGTTTTCGCAATTTGCTTTCACTTTTGCCACTGCGACAATGATGAGGCGTCGACGAGGGTCAAAATACCAAACGTTTGGACAATTGTTAATTGTTGGGAACGTGCGTGTGCTGACTTATTCTATATTTACAATTTCACTTCAACCTCTTTGAATGGTCAGCTTGGTTCCCTTATCACGTATATTCGGATCGCCAACCAGCCTGGAAAAAAGAGATCAATCTTAGTCTTTCAACGTATTTTACATAGATGTTAGTGGCTTTAAATTTAGAACGCAAAGTCCATGAACGATCATCTAACTTACTATTCGTATAGTTTAATTTAACAAAATGCTTAAAGGGTAGAATTTTCTATGGGTATTAACACCGAAATTATTTTTCAGCAATTGTTTGACTAAGTAATAACATGTTTATTTAGGAGTGATTAAAAAGGTAAGAACGTAAACAGTTATTGGTGTATCGTCTAGTCAAAAAAGTATTAGGTTTATTACTTTTAGTGCTCTCAAATGGCTTTACGCGAGTGGTTCCGGATAATTGCCGCAAAGTAAAACATACTTTTTTAACTGTAATTTTTAACCCCTTAATAATAATAACATTTGCATCCATAGTTTACTGCTCTGTTTTTAATTCTGCTTTAGCGTTTTGCCATATGGCTTCAGATAACGCTTGACACAGGACTTTGAAACTTTTAAGGCAGGCTTTCATGAGCCCCGTTGTACTGGAATCCACAAAACTATTCATGTTTAACAATTATTATCACGTGAGAAAGTCTATTTAATTTAAAATTTTAAAATGCTGCTGATCACGTGAGATCTGATTTCCTAAATGAATGAAACAAAAATCGATCAAGGTGATATTTGTCTGAATTTCTACATATTAATCAGCAGTTGCTCTTCGCAATAAACAAGTGTGGTTGTCCTTAGACATTTCAAAAAGTTGTGGCTCCTAGAAGGGAGAACTTCACTTACGTTTTTTCCAATTCATCAAAAACAAAAATTGAATAATCACACATCAAAACCTTGCTTCTTTGCAAAATATAAAAAAGTCGGTTATAAAAAAGTCGGCCTTTGGCCACGATGCTGACCTGGACCGTTGATTGGAGAGTATAATATATATACTCTTTCAATCAACGCCTGAACGTAAAAATGATCACAGACTAACTAGTTTCATAATATTCGTACCTCTGTGAAAACTTGCAAATAAAGTTGAGTCCGAAAGCCCCAAGATGTCCAACTTAGTTGAACAAGTGTTGGGAAATAGTTAAGGAAATAATATGATTAAATAAATCGAATTATTTCAAAATAATGGAATTAATTCGATTAGCTGGTCTCGAATGGATTCGAAGGATTTTACTAAGATATATATATTTTACTATAATATCGAATTAATGTAGAATTAAATAGATACAGAAAGTTTTTCATGTTTTACTGTA